ACACACACACACACACACACACACACACACACACACACACCCTTGGCCAATCCCATCCTCACCAGGTCTTTCATTGGACTTTCTCAGGCTCAGTCCTGGCATCTCTTCCTTTCTTGTGGATTCTCTCTCCTGAAGTGAATGCCGTCGCTTGGTGACTTCATCTATCTGCCAAACATTCCTATTCTGGTACCTCTAACTGCCTTCCTGGATGTACCACCATTCGAATGGCTCACATGCAATATTCCTAGCTCCAAACCCTTAGAATGCTCAATAGTTCCAGCACCTCTCCAGGGCACTCATGGCCCCATGATGTGGGTGGCCTGTCTCCCTGCCACTCCATTCATTTTGCAAGTCCAGGCCAGTCCAGCTGCTGCTGACTGACACCCCACTGCCACCCCGGCACTGACTCCTATTGTCCTCTTAGTTGAAAAAGCCTTTCCCCAATCAATGGGCAGCTCCAATGCAATTTTCTCTAATTCCCAATAAGAGGATCTATTAGAGAGAGTTCAAAGACCACTCACACTCCTATATGTCCATGAAGACCCAGGAACTATACATCTAACTCAGTGTGTTTATGCAACACACCTTGAACACTGTCCTTGAAAGGAGAGACTGTCCCCTGCCTACAACAGATCCCTAAAGGCACCCATCCATGTCTTGAAACCCTCTCCCTTCTCAAGTCAAGGGGAGATACTGCAAGGCTCACACCAAGATATGGGTTTGGGGAAAGGGAACAAGGTCTGGTTCACCCACTCCCAGGGCAAAGGCCAAACAGCAAATGTGACCAAATGGGACCCTCATTCATTCAATCAATAAATATTCACTGAGTATGCAGCCACTGGGACATCAATGACCTATAATCCCTACACTCATGGGAATTATTTACATTTCCACAAAGAGAGACAGAAACACCACTCAGTAAGAAAACAAAACACCACTCAGGTAATAACATTTGCTCGGTCAATCAGGATGATAAGGTGAGGACAGAGTGGTGTGATTTCATTCAGGATGGTCACAGAAACCTCTCTGACAAGGTGATCAAAGGAGAGCAGAGGCCACATGACAATTTGGGGACAAGCACTTCATTCCAGGCAGAGGAGATGGCATGGACCAAGGACACTGGATGAGTTTGCTTTTGGTGCTACAACAAATTACCACAATCTCAATGGCTAAAGCAACACCCATTTTCTCTTACAGTTCTGGAGGTCAGAAGTCTAAAACAGGTCCACAGGGCTGTGTTCCTTCTGGAGGCTCTAAGGGAACATCCATTTTTTTGCCTCTACCAGCTTCTGGGGCTGCTCACATGCCTTGGCTACCGACCTCACATCATTCTGACCTCTGTTTCTATCTTTACATCTCCTCTGCTGCTGAGTGTCCTGCCACTCTCTTATGAGGACCCCCTGCAATGACATGGGGCCCACCTAGATCATTCAGGATCATCTCCCCATCTTCTCAAGATCCCTAATTTCATCACACCTACAAAGTCCCTTCTTCCACAGAAGGTAACATCTTCACAGGTTCTGGAGATCAGGACATGGACACCTTTGAGAGGTTGGCATTATGCAGGCAGTAAGTCATAAATTTGCTTGGCAAGTTTGAGGCCAAGTGGGATGCCAGTGGGGCTCATTGGTGGAGGCATGCTCAGTATATCTGAGGACACCAACGTGGCCACTGTGGCAGGAACCAGGTGAGTGAGGGCCCAGGGGAATGGACTGGTGCCATGAATTAGTAGGCTATCTGCTCGTGCAGGACCCTGTTGTTGTCTACGCACGGAGACAACTCAGGAGCAAGAGAGGAAGAAGCCCCAGAGCAAGGTTTCTTGACCTCAGCACAACTGATGTGCTGGGCCAGATATGTCCTTGCTGTGGGATTGTCCCGTGTACTGCAGGATGCCTAGTGGCATCCCTGGTGTCTACCCACTAGATGCTGGTAACACCTGCCCCAGAGTTGTGACAACTAAACATGTTTCCAGATATTGTCAGAAGTCTCCTGGGGATGAAGTCCTCACTTTCTGTGTTGAGAACCACTGTACTCATGGGAAAAGGACAGGCAGTGCCCATGCACACCACCCCAAGTCAACTTTTTAAAAATGCATCCCTGATTTTTAAACATTCCAATGGAGCCCACGAAGGTTGAACCACTGGGGTCTCCCTTGTAGTTGCACTGCATTTCCCAACAAGGTTCTGACCATCTTGAGAATAGGGCATTTTACTCAGAAGTACTGATGAAGTACAATGCCCTCTGCCTGAATCATTTTCTTAAATACTCGTCTTTTTGCTCCAACATATTATCATGACATGTGAAAGGTTACTAACTGTGCACTGGCACCATCTCTAGAAAACAAAAAAATCACTTGCTATGTTTGGTAAATGTCACAGCCAAACACATAACAATTATGTTCCTAAGTGTAGCAATGATCTCCTTGCCGCATTTAGTACAGCGCAGCAAATTCCAGCACCCACACTTTGCAGTTCCACCAGAAACATGCAAGAACGAGAGGAGGAATATTCAGAAGAGACAATTGCCCTCACAAACTCCAGCAGTCTAAAGAGGAGGAATGCATGATAAATGAAGAATGTGACCACAGAGACGACCAGGATTGACCAACAAACTTGCATTCCATGGGGTGACTGAAAGTTACCACGAGTCCACCCTAAAAAGCCAGGAGGCACTGGGTAAGAAGCCTCTGAGCACACAGAAGGCCCATGTCCGTTTAAGTTGGCCTGGAGCAAGGAATCATATGATTTGCTTTTGTTGCTATTTTAACATTTTTTAAAAAGCCAACAAAGTAGCTTTCCAGACATCCATGAATGGTACAGTGTATTGAGCAGGCCTGTTTAGCTTCCAGAAAGGATCCCCTCACCCCACCCACCATTCTCTTTCTTTCCCCCTCAAGATAGTATTTCACCTGCAATGAAAAAACTTTCTTAAAAAAATATGCTTTACATAAAGAAGGACAAAATTATGAGCATCACAGCAACTTGGATGGATTCAGAGTCTATAATACTCAGCGATCTATCACAGAAACAAAGAATTGAGTACTACATGTTCTCACTCATAAACGGACCCTGAACAATTGTCATAATACTACAAGAAAGGGATTGGCAGTAGTGGGAAACTGCCGGGGGGGGGGGCCCACTTTATCAATAAGGGTATCCGATCTCAAACCAGGTGAAGTGTGGACCAAAGAGAGACCCAAACTTTATCTGTACAATGACCATCTGTATACCTAACCCTGAATTGTACCCCACATCTTTAAAATAAAACTTTTTTAAAAGGTATGCTTCATGTCTTTCTGAAGCACATATTTCAAAATAATTTGGTCTTAGGACTCATTCTAAAAGGCAAAAGAGAGAGAAAGTTTCTAGAAAAAGAAGACATGAAAGCCAAAGAAGGTTAGAATATTTACAAGGGGGACCTTGAGCACATGAGGAGAAGTCTGACAGGTTGAAAACACTGAAGCCTCCCAGCTCTGCCTGTGCCTGAGGGTGAAGACTGGGAGGGAAGGAGGGAAGGAGTGTAGGAGGGGAGCAGGGAAGGAAGGAAGTGAGGAAAGAGACACAAATGCACAAACTAGATCAAGTCTCAATGTGTAGCAGGCAGATGGTTTACAACACAGGTCAACATAATGACTGCATGTCAATCTCTCCAACAGAGTGGAATCAATGAGGTACTGCTCACCTGCTGACCTAATGCTTATCAAATGTCTTTGAACCAAGATATGTGGCTCTGTCTATTAACCTATGGAGGCAGAAGCCACATAAAGATAAAATGCTTTCACTTATGCTGTTCTGAGGGACTGATAGTCTGTTGGAAGGAGGGAAGGGAAGGAGAAAAAGGAGTTCTGAATGGTGATTTTTTACAAAGCCAAAAAATGTTCTATTCTTACTAAATCACATCTTTATAATTGTTTGCAATATTAAGAATTTCATAAGTTAAATGTGCTTTAAATGCTGTCATATGTATTAAGAAGCTACATATAAATGAAAATCCTTTGCTTTGTATTCTGTCAGACAGTGCTTTCCAATAAACGCAGAAATCACATGCTGGAACTCTGCCAAGCCTCTTTCCATGGAAGAAAGGAAATAAGCAGAAAGCAAGAATGAAAAAATGTGCTTCTTACCTCTTTCTGGCTTCCTCATACTGCCAATTAAGTCTGACTCGGTCTACAAGTCTTGTTTTATCATCAAAGACAAACTTTCCGGAACAGAAGAGAGAAAAAAAGAAAGGAAACACATATTTAAAACATACTTTCAAAATAGAAAATTCATTTAAGCTTTTGGCAACAGCGAAAAATACTCTTTTAACTTGTCTTTCACTTTCCATTTTTCAACGGTCTGGAAGGAAACACACCAAAAAATAACACTCTGCTGCCACCTCTGGCCAGTGGGGGCTGGGAAGACTTTTGCGTGCCTGAAACTGGTGGGGGGGGCTTGCTTTTTTAAAAGTGGTAGCATATCTATCTATTGTTTGATTCCAACCAACAATAACAAATCAAGTTTTAGAGCAATGGAGAATTGCTTAGTAAAAGCTGATATACAGGCCAAAAAAGTCATCCCACTTTGTGCAGTACATTCTCTAATTCCTCAGTAAATATAAACTCATGATGTTCTACTAAGAAGTCCCAGAGTCTGAAGAAGCTGGACTAGCTTTGCGAGGTGCAGGCAACACCATGAGGCATGTTAGAGAACAAGGGGGGAAAGGAAAGCAGGCAGGTCTCAAAGGCCTGTGGCTGGGGCATACTGACTTGCAGCTAGACTTTAAATGCAATGCTCTGAATACAATCAGTAGGTGGGCTTAAATATTTTCATACAAATTACACTGAAGGCAACAAAATCCTACACAAAACAAAAGGTCATGTATGGGAAATTACTGTAGCACACCTTGGTTAATTCTTCCTCCATTCCTGGAAATACCATACAACTCTAGTTTCAATAAATTGGCTCCATCTGTAGATCTGATATTACCAGACCACACATTATGACCAAGTCTTTATGCTTTTGAAATAAGCTCACTTCAACAAATACTTGAAAACATACGATTGTAATGATTAGTAACAAAGTAATCAATGCAAGTTTCTAATCTTTGTCAATGGAATTTCTTTCCAACTTCATTGCCTTGAATGACAAGATGATGTGCCTTACGAGGGACCGAGCACTCTCCAACGAGACATGCCACAATTGTACATGTCTCAATGGCCTCATCTGATGCCCCATCACAGTGTCCTCAGTATAAATCTATTAAGGCTGCAGCGCCACAGCTCCAAAACTGTCTATGTGGAAATGAGCTATTACACCTCACCTGCTCTTTACCAGTGACTCCATGGCCAACTCTTCATTAAGATCAAGAACCATCATTTATGAAACCTCTTCTCAAAGCTTTGTTTTTGTACTTTTCTTTGAGAATCAAATAGATATTTTAGTCAATAGAAAAGACAGCTAAATGGGTCCAACAGGTTCCTGCTCCACAGTTCCTATGCAGCCCCATAGCATATACAACCCTGTAGCTACAAATCCCCAGTCTCAGAAAGCGTGTCTGATAAATACCAACACCCACCCCACAAAACGGACTCAAAGCAAGAACAAAGTGAGGCAGGCAGACTTCTAAGACCAACAATCTCCACCTCTTGGGAATCACCCCATGTGAAATGCCCGCCCCTTGAAAGCAGGTTGGGTCTATGACTTGAATCTAATCAACAGAATGCAGCTAAGGTGATGGGAAGTCATTTCTTTAAATAGGTTACAAAAGATTGTGACTTTTGTCTTGCAGATTTTCTCAGTGGGCACTCTGGTGAAGCAAGCTGCTGTGCTGGAGAGGCCCACATGGCAGGGACCTGAAGTCCTCTTGGTCTAACCACCTGCGAGGAATGGAATCCTGCCAACAATCACATAGCTTAAGATTGGATGCTCCTCCGAGTGAGCCTTCAGATGAGACTGCAGCCCTGGCTGACACTTGATTTCAGTTTCCTAAAAGATGCTGAAGCAAAAGACCCAGCCCAGACTCCTGATTCACATAAAGTGTAAGATAATAAAGGAGTGTTGTTTTAAGACGCTAACTTTTGGGATAATTTGTTATGCCACAAAAGCTAATACAGTCATAGTCTCTCGATATATTTTTCTATAATAACATGATATAGTAGAGACTACAGGGGTTTGGAGAGATGCTAATTCAACCCAGACCTGCCTCTCCTCAGCTACAGGACCTTACATAACCTGGCACATCAACCTCCTGCATGTCAAACAGGATGGAAACAATTACTTAAACTAAGATAACAGCTATGAAACTGCCAACCCAAGACCAGCCCCAGTAAACTGCAGGAGCTCATGATAATTTACTGCTAAAGTAGCATAACTAGCCACTGCTCTTCACCTGACATTTTTAGAATGGTTTACCTAAATCATCAGAGAACCTTAGATATTTTTTTTTTTTTTTTTTTTTTTTCTGAGTTGGAGTCTCACTCTGTCGCCCAGACTGGAGTGCAGTGGCCGCTCCCGGCCACCGCAGCCTCGACCCGCTGGGCTCCGGCGATCCTTCCGCCTCAGCCTTCCGAGGAGCCGGAATTACAGGCATGCGCTACCATGCCCGGCTGATTTTTTGATTTATTGTAGAGATGAGGTCTCACTGCCCAGGCAGGTCTCGAACCCGCGGGCTCAGGCAATCCACTCACCTCAGCCTCCCAAAGGCGCGGGATTACAGGCTGAGCCACCGAGCCCGGCAGAACCTTTGATATTAACTGCTCCTCTCAAAATAGTAGAGTCTCTAAATTCTAAATATAACCTTCCAATAAGCTGAAAGCAGCAATAAATTATTTGTGGACTTCACTCAGTCTTGTACTTCTTTTCTTCCCTTGCTCTAAAATCTTTAGGCAAAAATGACAAACATTTTTGACTCACAGATCCTTCTCTGTGTGTTACAGATGGCAACCGTATTCTTTCAACCAAATAAGTTGTCTGGTTGAAAATGACCAAGTGAACTTTTGAGAACAATGCAGGTAAAATTGAAAATAGGACTGTTCTAGGACATCCAAGACACACAGAGTCAATTTACTACAATATATACTCCCCTCAACGAGTCATTATTTCAACATTTCAAAATAATAGCTAATCACTGAAAACCAAGAATTTTCTATCAATTGTTTTCCCCCTTTTTGTTTCTTTTATTTAATCTGGGGGGTGGCACTGCACACTCCACCAATACTTCATCTTAACTTAATAAGCCTTAAGAAAAAGCTTCTAGGCTGGGCTCGGTGGCTCAGACTGTAATCCCAGCACTTTGAGAGGACGAGGCAAGTAGATTGCCTGAGCCTGCGGGTTTGAGACCAGCCAGGGCAACTTGGCAAGACCATGTCTCTGCAATAAATAAATAAATAAATAATTAGCCATGTGTGGTAGCATGCGCCTGTAGTTCCAGCTACTTGGAAGGCTGAGGTGGAAGGATCACCGGAGCCCAGCCCAACATGGCCCTGGGGTGGCCATGAGTGTGCCACTGCACTACAGCCTGGGCAACAGAGTGAAACTCTAACTCAAAAAAAAAGAAGAAGAAAAAGGTTCTAAAAAGTATTTCCATTGGGTAACAAGTTAATGTCAAACTTCACTCGATAACATTACAACAGCAGTGCAGTAGTGTCTGAATATCTACAACCCTGCTTCAAATGGTGATTTTCACAACTTTGTTTTTGTGGCTAACTTAAGGCTTCACTAATTATCAAAAGGGGCATTATGAAATTCTTTCATGTCTTAAACAAAATTACTTTTAATTCAACTCAGTTTCTTGATATTCTTTTAGAAGAATAAGAAACAGCAACAAAATGTAACCCAAGGTGGCACAGCTACAAAGCCTTTAGAAATCATTGGTCTAAGGCAGAGATCAGTAACCTATGGCCCTCAGGCCAAATCCAGCCCACAGGCTGTTCTGTAAGGCAAGTCTGACTAGTGCCCAGGTGCACCATGCACTCACAGAGCATCTGTATAATGGCTGCATTTGTGCTATGATGCCAGAGTTAAATGGTTCCTAAAATATCTAATATCTACTACCTGGCTCTTTCCAGAAAAAGTTTGATGAACCATGCTCTAAAAAGTCACATGTCTGTCAAAAGAACTTCGAAACTCAACTCTCACAAGGAGTCTATCATTTTAAGAATATGTATCACAAGGACAGAGGTAATAAGCAATTCAATGGCATCACACAGCTGAATGTGAGAAACACTATTTTTTCTTCAAACTTAATGACACAAAAGCAAAGGCACTTCTGAAGTGAAAATGGAAAATTAAACCACATGAGTGCCGGCAATATGTAAGCAGCCCTCCTCTCTCTGGCCTACGTGCTGTCTCCCTTGGCGAGCATACCTCCCCGATGATGTCAGTCTGAGAGCCGGCATCGCAGAACTGCTGGTGTACACCAGGATTGCCAGTCACACCTGTGTGGTGAGGGACATCTTGTAGAGAGTCGGTAACAGAGCAGCTGTTTTTGAAGCCATCAGTCAGCTTGGCCAGGCTCTGGAACAGAATGACACAAGCTCTTTGAATGGAGATGATGATGCTTCTCTCCTCCCTCTAGAAGTGACCCTTTCAATCCAATTCTAGATCTGCAGCTTTATTTATTACTGGACAGTTGTCCCACCCCACTCCCCCATCTTCATTTGATTTCAAATAAAGGCCTTTCACCACATGCACCTTTAATATAATACTTAGTCATTTAAATCAGATAGCGACTGAGTCCTCCTGGCAGCATGTGAATAAAATAGAGAACAATTATGGCATCATTTTTACTGGTTTTTAAACCTTCATGTTTCCTAAAGAAAAAATAAGCATTCCTTTGCAAAATGTTCAATCAGTAAATGAGTCTGACAGAGATGAATGCCACCTCAAGATGGTTACAGATGAACCACAGAGACAGTAAAAACAACTCCCGGAAGATACTTATATGTATTTTTTTCAGTTGAGTTGCTGTTTAAGTTTATGTATTTTTATAATCTGATTTCTTAGTCATAATTCTACATGGTCAACACTAATCTCATATGAAAGTTAGTTTACCAAAAAATTAGAATAAGTATGTATTCTTACTCTTATTCCCTTGTGTGAAAGTTAGAGAAACTAGATTTTTGACCATTTCCTCTAGATTTCTGAAAATGTTCACCTTCAGTAGACATCACTGCAGACACCAGAACCAGAACACCCAAGAGTAATAGAACTCATGTAACTGGCTTGAGAAAGGGACAAAGGCTTTTTGGGTAAGTTCAAATAAGAAAGACAAAATAACTTATTTAATTTGAATGGAAGACGACCTTGCCCGTGCGTCTTCCTGGAGCTTCTCAGAGTTTGAGAGGCTGTGAAGACCTCAAGGAAGATGCTGGGGCCTGAAGCTTCTTCCAGAAATTCTATCTCCTGCCTCCCTGGTGAGGAAATCAAGCAAGGCAACTGAGTGGGCGGCCCTGGCACTGTACACTGTGGCTTCAGCAAGGCCAGGGTAGGGAGCTCTGCTTGAACGCTTGGGGCAAAGCTTCCATGTCTCTGTGGTGAAACAGCACCTGGTTCACCTCGGGGTGTTGGCTAGGATGACAGGGTAACAAACATAGGGTACCTTGTTCATGCTGCAGGCAGAGACCTTAATAAATGGTAATTGTTCTCAGTGCTACCAGTGCGCAAAAAAACCCACTAACAATCGACCTATTATGACCAGGAGAGGTTATCGGAAAATACAGATTTCTGGGCCCCACCTCCAGAGATTCTAATTCAGTAGTTCTGGGGTGGGGCCCAATAATATGCATTCATGCAGATTCTTCGCAAGTCCCTCATGGCCTTGACCTTGGGAAGCACTGCCGAGGCAACATGGCTTTTTTGTGCATCTGTGTCATTTTGCCTATGAGTGTGAGCTTTGCTCTATATGTCCTCTGGATCTTACATTCTGCAAAATCTACCAAGCAGTAGGTGCTCACTTAGGGTGTCAAGTGAAAAATAAAAGCTAACAGAAAGCACTGAATGCATTCCAGCACCAAGCAAAAAGACTAGTGTGTGTCCATTTGCAAAAGCTCAACTTTTTCTAAAAATAACAGAAACTACAAGAGTATAAGGGGCAACTGGGTACAGTGGCTCACATCTATAATCTCAGTACTTAGGGTTGCCTGAGCCCAGAAGTTCAAGGCTGCAGTGAGCCGTGATTGTACCACTGCACTCTAGTGTTGTGACAGAGCAACAAAGGTGAAAAAAATTATCTCTATCTATTGCTAGTCATACTGGGACCATGACACTTTTATAGTCATTACCTCTAGCAGAATCAGAAATTTACTCAGTTCCCCAAACTTCACCCATTTAAAAAAAAAAAAAAGAGAGTTCGAGGGAAAAAAAACCCATAAAGTAATATAAAGTTAAAATGAGCTAGGCATGGTGGCTCACACCTGTAATCCCAGTACTCTGGGACCCAGAAGTTTGAGACTAGCCTGGGCAAAATAGCCAGACCTTGTCTCTACAAAAAATAAAAACATTAGGCGGTCATGGGGGTGAGTGCCTATAGTCCCAACTACTTGGGAGGCTGAGGAGGAAGATCACATGAGCCCAGGAGGTAGATGCTACAGTGAGCTGGGATCATGCCACAGCACTCCAGCCTGGGAGACAGAGTGAGACCCTGACTCAAAAAAAAAAAAATCTACAATGATCCCTGCTACATAACTGAAATATATCCACATAGTAAAATACTATGCATACTACATAAAGGAATGAGACGGTTCACCATGTCCATGTGTACAGATATGAGGAAAGGCATAGGACATTAGCATTATGGAGGAAGCCAATGCAGAACACTAGCACAGTCCTGGCTTTATGTGAGGGCAGCTGAACACCTAGTCACATTTTTGTGCATCTACGTGAACACTAGAAGGGGACGCAAGAAGCTAATAAAAGTAGTTATGGGAGGTGGAGGATGGAGTGCTAGTAAGACTTATCATTATCATAGACCTCTGGAATTATTTTGATTATTAAAAAATATTAATGTTTCACCCATTGTTGTGAGTTGAATTGTGTCCCCCAAAAAGATACGTTCAAGTCCTAACCCCAGGAACTGTGAATGTTACCTTATTTGGAAAGAGGGCCTTCACAGGTGTCATCTAGTTAAGATGAGGTGATACTGGATTAGGGTGGGGCCTCATCTAATGACTGGTGTCCTTCTAGAAAGAGGAAATTTAGATACAGAGACCCACGGAGATGGTCACATGACTACGAAGGCAGCGATGGGAGTGATGCATCTACAACCCAAGGAATGCCGAACACTGCCAGTCACCACCAGAAGCTGGAAGAGGCAAGGAAGGGTCCTTCCCAGAACCAGAGGGAGCAAGGCCCTGTTCACACCTTGATTTCGGACTTCTGGTCTCCAAAACTGAGAGTAAATGCCTGTTGTTCTAAGCCACTCAGTTGGTGTGACTTTGGTATAGCAGCCCCAGGAAACTAAAACTGTCTGCCCTCCATATCTGCGGGTTGTGGACCTATAGATTTAACCAGCCGCAGGCAGAAAATATCTGAAAAAAATAATAAACAATACAAAGAAAAAAGCAGTATACCATATAACAGCTATTTCTATGGTGTTAGGTATCTAAGGAATCCAGAGATGATGTGAAGTACAGGGAGGATGCGCATAGGGTATATGCAAATACTACACCATTTTATATCAGGGACTGGAGCATCCAAGGATTTTGGTATCCTCTGGGGGATCCTGGAACAAACCATGGATGCTGATAGACAACTACTCATTTACTTAGATACAGCGTGGTGTGTGTGTGTGTGTGTGTGTGTGTGTGTGTGTGTGTGTGTGTGTGTGTGTGTGTAACATACACATATATAATATTATATATGAATTGTATATACAATAAACATACAATATATGTAATAAAGAAATGTATTTAAAACATTTAAAAATAAATGGCAAGCAGGCAGGCAGGCGGACGGCCACAGGTCTCTGGAGCAATGGCCCCAGCCTCTTACTTGCATGAGGTCCCGCCTCTCCTTCTCGCCAGTACAGATGGCTTTCCTGATGGTGCGAAGCTCACTCATGATAGCCTGTGCCTCATCCAGTTTGTAGTTGGTGTGAGCACTTGACATCTTCCGATCGATCCTGGTTGAAGGAGAAAACTCAGTCATTCCACAGAAGATCATGACATTCCATTGAACAACAACAACGAAAACCCAGAAGCTTCACAGAAAGGTGGGAAACAATTAAAAGCAATGTTTTGGTAAAGAAAAAGAAAGACCCCATGGAACTTTCCTTCCTTGTAGTAAATATGACTCCTTTGCTCCAGGAGCATCCTGGGTAGGTGAGTACATTCGAGTCATGATGTCCACATCTCTACTCGTGATCAGGCAGCAAGACTGCTGGTTTGAATAGCTTCCTGAGGTTGTAAGCTCCTCTCTCTGACAGGAGGACTATGTCTTATTTATCCCCAGCATTCAGGTTAGTAGTCAACATGTTTATTAAATAAACACATGAATGAGATCTGGGTGCAAGGAGAATATATAGGAACAGCAATAAGCAGTGAGCTTTCAATAATGGTACCTTGGGCAAAAGCTGGAAACTCTTGTGTCTCCCCTAACTCTTTCTTTTATTTCATTCTAGTTCTAGTTTTTTGCTCCCCCTCTCCTACCCATCTCCTCAATTCTTTCATTCAATGCAAATATCCACCCAGGAAAGACGTTAACTTCTCTCCCTCCTTCCTTCCCTTCCTTGCTCCATCCTTCCAACCAATCCCTGTGTGCACCAGGCCTGGCTCTGGGTGGTAGAAGCAAAGCACAGAACAAGACAAGACTTGGCTCTGCCTTCAAAGGGCTGGTGGCCTCTGGAGCATGTCCTTTCTCACATCTTCCACAACTAAGGCTCGAGCCTTGGAAACCCTCAAGGCTAAGGAACCTGGGAAACTCTGGTCCAGAAATGAAATGAGTTCCTTTTCTGGAAAGCGGCCAGTTTGCTTTTCAGGTTCCAGGTCCTCAGTATACAGGCTCTGGTTCTAGTCATTTCCACCACATTGTCCTGAAATTCTGAATGGTTAACTGCCAGTTCAAACTTCCCTGTCTTCCACTCACAAGAACCTCTCGTGTGTTGTGAGTGTAAGTGGCACCCAGTTCTGCCAGTCACAGGTTGTAGTACCCCAGGCAAGTCACTTTACCTCTTTCCACCTGCTTCCTCTTGTCTCAAACAGGGACACTAAAAATAATTCTCCCATGTGATGGGCATGAGACTTAATGAGAAAATGCACAGAAAAAGCTCACTTGGCAAGAGGCCTGGCATGTGGTGTTTGTGGTGATTATTATTGTTATTAGGATAATGTGGCATCTGCTTATTCATGAAATAAAAAGGAAATAATATGCCAACTCCAGTACCTTATTATCATTAACGAATTCCTTGCCGAATAAGTCACAACTCACAGCAAACGCAGCACTGGAATCAATCTGAGCTATCAGCATCCTTGGAATACAAGAAGGGCAACTAAAACAAACAAGACACTGCTCCCTACTTTGGAACAGGGCTCTAGGCTTGGCAGCACTGCTATGAATATAATCAGCTACCAATTAAAGATTTATGAAAATGGGTCCTGAGTTCTTCCCCATGAAGAACAGAGGGAGGCAGACCGTAGGACCCCATGTGTTGAATGGCAACACCCCTAAATCCCAACATGGCTTGATCCCACAGGCATTTCCATAATGGCCCAGTTACAGATGGGTAGGTTTCTCAAACATACACTGCCTTGACTATTCCTAGAATTCTTTATTGATACATTTTTATGGTACATGTATTGTTAACTACAGTGTTCCAGACAGAAAGTTAAAATAAGTGAGCGTGAACTAAAGTTTGGGCTATGGGCACATTTTGGTTTGTTTTTTTTTCCTCTGCTCTTACATCCAAATGATCAAGGTAGTAAGCTTTAACACTTCTCTATCACCTGAGAGTCCTCATGAGATTTAGCAATAAAAAAGTTCCTAGCACAGCAGCAGCTAGCCACTGGGAGGCTGCTAAAATGTGGGAACCAACTGCAAGGATGGTAGCAATAGGCATATAAGCCCCTTGTACATCTTCAAAACACTGTTGTTTGTCCCTCAAAACCAACCCTACTTCCACCAAAATGGCTGGCATTCTTACTCACTGCTGGTACCTTACCCAGACCCATAGAAATCAAGTGCAGCCAGCAACCTGGATGGACTTAGAGTCTATATATAATACTGGCCAGGCACAGTGGCTCACGCCTATAATCCCAGCATGTTGGAGGCCTAGGCGACAGGATTGCCTGAGAACACGGGTTTGAGACCAGCCTGGGCAACTTGGTGAGACCTCATCTCTACAATAAATCAAAAAATTAGTCGGGCATGGTGGCGCATGCTGTAGTTCCAGCTACTTGGAAGGCTGAGGTAGAAGGATCGCCTGAGCCCAGCAGGTCGAGGCTGCAGTGGCCATGAACATGCAACTGCCCTCCAGCCTGGGTGAAAGAGTGAAACTCCAACTCAAAAAAAAGTGTCTATAATACTGAGTGAGTGATCTTTCATAGAAACAAAGAACTGAGTATCACATGCTCTCACTCATAAGCGGACCTTGAACAACTATAATACTATAAGAAAAGGACTGTAGTAGTGGGAAACTGCCAGGGCGGTGGGGTGGGGGAAGAAGTGATTGGCAGTAGTGGGACTCTGCCAGGAGAGGGGAGGGCACACTTCATTAACAAGGGTACTTGCATAATGAACATTTGTATACCTAATCCTGAATTGTACCCCATATCTTTAAAATAAAAAAATATTTTAAAAGAAAAGAAATAAAGTGCAGTATTCGTGAAAGGTCCATCTTCTTGTTTAGCTGATAGTTTCACAACAAAAACCATTGTAATTCACTGAAATTCTGCACAGGGGGCGCTGTGTGGCTGAATGGTGTGATGGAAAGGAATGCAACCAGAAGTCTGGGGATGGAATGGGGCTCCAGAACCCAGCAGATCATCAAAATAAATACAGACTCCTGTATCCCTGCTGAAGGTGAACCTCTACAGGTGGAAATAAGATTTATTGACTCATCTACCAGGTCCCAGAACCACCAGGTTGGAGAAGCCTCTTTCTACACTATTTATAATTCACTGGTGGACATTATATAATAGCTATAATTAAATTGAACTTCATGGTGTCAATATACTTGTAAATACCCAGTGAATTGACAATAGAAGGCATTCTATATTAGGGAACCGTTTTGGCTAAAACTATTCAAGGACAAAGTAATACCAGAAACAGAGATGAAATCCATCCAATCTGTCTCTAGTTCAGGAGCTCAGGCTGGGGGTGAGGTTCCTTGTTGAGAGTCGTTCATCTTACAGAGATCCCAGAAACACCAATGTGAAGTAGGAAAACAAAACAGAAGGAATATCCATTTTAGATGCTGTGGAGAGAAGCAAGGATCTCTACCACGAGGCAGAAATAAAAGGCCATACATCTCAAAGCACTAAGTCTCATTTTAAAATAGTTCAATGTATCAAGCGCCTATAAGGTGACAGGGTCTTACTGCATGTTTTATGTTTGGCATTTCGTTTAACCCCCTCAATGGCCTTATGACATAAGCATAATCTTCCCGGATTTTATAATGAAGAAGTTGAGGGTCCTGATGATTATGGTCCGTATGACAAGTGAACATCTGACAGAGCCAGGATTCAAATCCACATGCTCTGACTCCAAAGCCTGCATAGACTCATGGAGTGTGGTGATGCCCTTTCCTGTTAAGCGTGACATCATCCATCACTCCCCTCAGAGTGGTCAAGGCAGGTTCGGATTTGTTTTTTTAACAAGGGCAAACTATGTTTCAGAGAACCCAAACCATCTCTATTTTGATCAATGTTCATCCAACAAACACTTCAAAGGACAGGAAATCTCTTCTTTCATTTATGCAAAATTCATTTCTGTGAGAGCTCTCTCTTTTCAAAAATTCCTCCAACTACTGGTCTCAAATGATCCTCCTGCTTCAGCTTCCCAACGTGCTGGGAATACAGGTGTGAGCCACACGCCCGGCACTTTTTAAAAATTCCATGTAGAACTTTAGTCAAATTTAGATGATGTGCTCAATGATTTGTTATTTCCTAAAATACCAATGTATTCCAGATCATTTTTTAAAAAGCATAATATCTGTGACTGCCATAGAATTGTCTTATTCTGTTTTTAATTTTAATTAAGAATGCAAGACAATACTCTTATAACACAAATAAAATGATTTAAAAAGTGGTAACTGCTCAAGAATAAGCAAGGACATATATGATTATGCATGGTGAAAAAAAACTCAGTGCATAGACCCACAGTCTTCCCTTTCCTACCCCCCACATTGTTCATGCAGCTTCAGTGGGGTTAAGCAATTTGCTCGGGGTAAGAGGTACCACTGCCAGGCGGGGTGGCTCATGCCTATAATGCCAGCACTTTGGGAGGCGAAGGTGAGAGGATTGCCTGCCTCCAGGGATTTGAGACCAGCCTGAGCAACATAGTGAGATCTCATTTCTATAATAAATCAAAAAATCAGCCAGGCATGGTGGTGCATGCCTGTAATTCCAGCTACTTGGAAGGCTGAGGCAGAAGCATCACCCGAGCCCAGCAGGTTGAGGCTGCAGTGGCTGTGATCGTACCACTGCACTCCAGCCTGGGCGACAGAGTGAGACTCCAACTCAAAAGAAAAAAAAAACGGTACCATGAAGCATTTGTCTTCTTCAATACCAGTTTAGCAACACACTCAAAGTCAAGGTCTCTAAATTCCCACTGTGTCAAACCTGAAAGCCACCCACAGAAGCAGTCAAATGTCATTCCAAATAAATCTGTGCTCTTTATGGTTTGCTTTTGAAAGAAACAGGTTGGAGAGAAAAGGACAAGATACAGCTTCAGATGAGGAACCTACTACTGCTGAAAGGCATTTTAGAGAAGTTTATCATCAACCTCTACCTCCTACCACTCTAAAGTTTCCCTATTTGTTGTTAAATTTAATATATCAAGAGGGCTGGACACAGAGGTTCATGCCTAAAATCCCAGCACTTTGGGAGGACAAGGCAGGAGAATTGCTTGCGCCTAGGAGTTTGAGCCCAGTCTAGGTAATACAGTGAGACCTCATCTCTACAAAAA